GCCGGTCCAGAAGCCAACTGGATTGTGAGAGGCCAGAATCCTGGTGAGTTATTTTTGCTAATAAGTTCTTAGATGTGGAATGGAAGTTGTGGTGAATTTATTGCATATATGTGCAGAATTATCAGTTTGACCATGATTTGAGCTAGATTCACACTTTCATTTGTTGTTCAAACATTATCTGATTTAAGAATATATATATACCACTTCTACTGATGTTAAGTAGTCAATGCATTTGTTACTTCAAGGCTGGACAATTGTAATTCTTTATTATCAGGGACTCTGCAAACTGTAGTTAAAAGCCTTCAGCTGATCGAAATGCTGCAGCCAGGATTCTGATGAGAGATAAAAAAAAGAGATATTATATCTCCAATACTGGCTTTTAGAATAGACTTTCTTTCTTCTCACATTTAAAGTCCAAAACAACCAAACTCCATCTGATATCAGAGATCTGATTGTTGCTTATGTTTCTACTGGAGCATTTCGCTCTCGATCTCTAGGTTTACTAGTGGTTCCTAGAATTTCTAAAAGTAAAATGGAACGCCTTTTTTTAATGCTCTGGATCTACCAGTATCGGGTATTGCAGGCTAACAAAGAACCCAAATAACTGCCCATTCCAAAGGGTCGGACCCGTTCGTCTGGTACAATTTGCATGTTTTCTAAGCCAAAACAAGGCTTTGTATTGGTCCACTCTATAAAGCCTCAAACTCGATGCTAATTCTGACATTTTGAATTGTTAAGGTTCCTGGATGGGAAGCGAAACGTCTTCAAACTTGGAAGCAAAGTCCAGTGGATTGTTTTTTAACTTTATTGCAATGACTATGACCTCGATGACTGAGAATCTTCACCACCAATGGGAGGCAGATCTTTTAGTTATCAGGCTCCTCTCCTGTGGAACCAACTACCAGTTTGAGTCCGTGAGGCAGACACCCTGTCTACTTTTAAGGCTAGGCTTAAAACTTTCCTTTTTGATAAAGCTTATAGTTAGAGTGGCTCAGGTTATCCAGAGCTATCTCTATAGTTATGCTGCTATAGGCATAGACTGCTGGAGGACATAGGGACCAATCGCTCTATTTCTATTCTCCCACTGTGCAGAATCAATTAGTTCAATCTCTAACATTCTGCTCTCTGCTTTTTCTCATCATAGAAAAAGCCTGTTTGGCTGTGACTCCATCCTGGAGAGAAATATCAGCTGTGCTGCTGCCATCAACACCTTTGTTTATAGATGTTGAAGAGTGGCCTGTTTTTCAGAGTAGTTTTCCTCTCCACTATTGCCGCATGCTGCATGACTGGATGCAATCATCTGTTTTTTTCCTTGAATAGAAAACTTTAAACCTTTAATCTGACTGAATGATCTGGATCTATAGAGTGAGCTGAAAGAACAGGTCACTTTAACAGCGTAACATCTCACACATCCATTTTCAGTCATGTCCACACATTCATGATGGGACTGAGTTTAAGGCTATGAGACCACCACTACAAAACATCAAATCTTCCATTCTATAACCTTCGGTGGCTAATTGGCATGCATGCGTATAGTTTGTGTTCTTTTGGAAGAACCATGCCTGGCTCAGCTTTAGCTTCCTTGCTGATGCTTGCGAGGTGGCTTCAATGATTCCACCTCATTTATCTATCAGCATGCTCTTATTTTGTGATGGTCTCCAATCACTCCGGCAGCATACAGTAATATCCCAAGACTATTTTTTATTCTTAAAGAAAAACAAGAACACCTTGAAACAAAGACCTAGAGAAGAAAATCATACGCAACAACCAAGAGCAAGATCATGTCTTACAGATAGTAATAAGTAATAGAAATAACAAGAAAACTAGTTATCCCAGAGAGGGTTTTTTTTTTCCTCGCCGCCTGCACCTCAATCCAAATCAGCAGGACTTGGAAGATCTGCTTTTTTCTTGGAAAGTTGAAGAATAGCTGTTTTCCCCTATGTGTCATACAGTACCTACCCAACAACACCAATAAAAACAGGTAAAGAACAGTTTCAAACACAGACAATCTCTTTTCTTTAATGTTCTGGTTACAGTGTCATGCTGAGATGTTATTTTCGAGTTTAGAGACCATGGAGACATTAAAAAAAAAGTAAAGATAAAATCTGTCTCTGATTTTCGATAAGCTTTAGGTTCAGTTTCATACCCATCTATCACATCTCCTGGTTTTTCAGTGGCAGCTAAATTTTAAATAAGAGCTTGATAACAGAGATTTTAGTGCATGAATATTACTTTTATAACATTTATGGCGGCTAGGATTACAAAATGGACTTTATTCCAGAGCTGTAATTCATTCAGCAGCTCTTTTCTACCTGCTGCATGAAAACGAGGCTCCAACACACGCTGAGCTCCCTGATGGATTTGTTACATGCACCAGGTCAACCCTGACACAAGTTAATTAGAGCTCCAAATATATACAGCCTGCCTAATTACACGCTGCACATGGATCCCACTAACGACTCAACTAACCTAATCCTAAGTCTTTACGACCCAATAAACCCCAAAACACCCTCTGAAACAAAACAAGGGAGGGAAAATGGAATCAGTGAGGAATGACAGCAAACCTGCCGCTAATATGCAAACATGCAGACAGCAGATCTCCCTATGGATCGCCCCTCCCACACTTATTGCTTTGGCAGTGATAGAACAACAGCCTGTTTCCCAGGAGAGAGGACCAGTGCCAGGGAAGGAAGAGCAGGAGAGATGAGGAGGTGTGAGTCTATCTGATGATACCGTCAAATTTACAAAGATCTACACTTCCTGCTTTTTTATCTGTCTGTGAGTCCGGCTCTCTGTTAAACAAGAGGAAAAAAGGAGCTGCAGAGCTCAAACATTACTTTGACAAAACTGTAAAAAACTTTTCTCATCTTTAATTGAAGAGCATAACATTGTGGAAAACAGACAGAAATAAAAGACACAGAAGTCAGGTGGGGAATCTACAGCCGCTCTCTTCACAATCCTCAGGCTTTTCTAGTCAGATGTGTTCTCCGCCTCATGAAGTCTTCACATATAGGCTGAGGTTTCCTTTGGTAGCTGCCATCATGGACTCTTCTTTTCAGGTTTGCGTTGTGAAATAGTTCAGACACGGTGCAAAAAATCAGGCAGAAATCTTTGTGAAATATCTGGTTCAGCACATTATGTGGGCGGGGAGGAGAAGATTCTAATATGGAGGAACTGGTTCTCCACTGTGTCACCAGTTTGAACCCATCTTAGGGAAATGTAGTGGTCTCAGTGCTCCTACATGGTCGTCATTTAAAAAGGTGCTAGATTAATCTAGATTAAAATGGCTCAATTGAATTTTACCATGAAACAGAATCAGAATCACTTTATTCATCCCTTGCAGGACATCTTTTTCTTACAGCGCAATCATTTCCAGATGAGAGAAAAATAAACTTGTAAGTACAAAAAAGAATAAGAATATATATATAAAAAAAGATAATGGTAAGAATAAAATGAGATAAAGATGGTATGTGTGTGATACCTCAGTTTTAAGTAAAATTAAATAATTGAAAAGGTTTCTGAGGCCAGGTGGTGGATTAGGTAAGGGCCTATCTCCTGTTTCCAAAGTGCTGACAAAGCTTTGATAACTGGTGATGAAAATAAATAATATTCAATTGGATAGATTTGTGTTTAATAAGTGTTTATTCAGATAAACATGAATTCTGAACTGTAGGCCTACATACAGTAATAGGTCATGATGAAGTATTTACAGTCAGTAGTTTTGTTTCAGTCAGTCTAAGCTCTATTTCTCCTTTCTCTATCAGTCAATCAGGCAGTCATTGTAATATCCTGTGAGGCTGGAGTAGCCGAAAGGGCTGCTGGGTAATGACAAGATGAGGAAAACATCACCATTTTAACCTAGTTTTCTGTTAAATAGGGTTGTTTATGTTGGTAGTCTGTTCATGCTAAGCTAACATTGTGTTCTGGAGTTTGTAGCTGTAGGTGCTAACATTGACACCGTCGAAAGAATGTTTCACAAGTTGGATATAAAGGAACAGCATACCATGGACCATGTGTTGCATTAACAAATAACTGTCGCTTCATAAGCAAGCATGAAGTGACAGTGGAGAGGAAAAACTCCCCATAGCGATGAACCTCTGGCAGAACCAGGCTCAACAAGGCGGTCTTCTGCAGGACCCATTGAAATGAGACACGTAAAGCAGTAAGAGTCCGGGAGGAATGAGGGACTGGGGGTGGGTTTAAATGGGGTCATCTGAATGAAGCCAAAGCGCATCCACCGCCTGCGCACCAGGTAGCAGACGGCTGGCGGATGGGAGACCTTTTAAGATGAACTTTGGATGCTGATTGGCTTTTGTGGAGGTGTGGTTCAAAGCCGGTTGACTGTGTCGTAGGCGAATGAAGGCAATTAATCAGTTTATTCAGTTGAACTAGGCTCCATTTGTACATTCTAGGGACGCATGATTTATCGATTTTGGCATCGAATTCAGCTGTTATCCGTTACTGTTTTTTATACATTAATGTTTTTGGGCCCTATATATATATATATATATATAAAATGCACAAAAATGCATCTCTCTATCTATGAATATAAATACCAGTGTATTATGGTTCTTTTGTTTTCTCAACAATAGGAAAGTATTTGATGAATATATTTTTAGCTCATTTGTGGAAAATACAAAAACCTAATGAAAGCGTTTGGTTGGAGTTACTGTAGGTCCATCAGCCCCCACCCTTAGAGAGTCCCCACCAACTTTCATTACAAAGTTACACCCTTCGGTCAATAGCTCCGGTTCTGATGTCATTTTGGGATAAAGTCAAATCATATTGTTTCATCTTTGCTGTTACAGCAGGCTGAAGTTAAGTAGAAAGCTTTGACACACTGTATGTGATTTAAGAACTGCCTGCAGTTCCTCCTCCATCTGGCAGATGTCCTGGTCTAATTTTATTCTGAGTGCATTTACCTTCCCCTGAAATGTTTTATGAATAAAAGGTTGAAAGCATTTCCTTCCTCAAACCAGCCAAAGTGTTTTGCTTCATACCTATGGCCATGAAGTCCTCGTGGTCCCAGGCCTGCAGCTGTGCGAGTGGGCCGCTGTACAGCAGCAGTCCATCAGCCACGTCTGTGATAAACTCCAGCGACACATGGCTCTCAAAGCAAGGCTTCATAGGAGGAAACCAAGCATAACCGTTGCCATGGAAACTGTGCTTGTTCTGCTGGCATTCGGGTCCCTCAAACTGAGCAGGGCACTGGCACCTTGGGAAGGAGAGGAAATCAAAAGATGAAATTACATGAATTAGTAAATGCAATAAATGGGTAATTTGGCTTTTAGTGACATTTCCAGAGTCTCTGCTTATGTAACTTAAAAGCATGATCCTCGGCGCTGTTTTTTTTCAATCCCATTCCGTCTAATTTTTTTCAAAGTATTTTGCAGCGCATTAGCTCTGACTGTCTGTAAGTCACAGTTGCTTCCTCCTTTTAGGCAATGCTCCCCTTTTGCCGATCACTCACACTCCGTATGTTTCACAGATGCAGATGTTCTCATTAGTGGCAAAGCCGCAGGGGGTGAAATCTCAGGATCACTAGGAAATACTCTTACAGTATTTTCAGACAGTCAAGGTCTCATTTATACCAATTTCCTGTCAAAATGCAGGTCCTTCCTTTCCTCTGCAGAAACATCTCAGTTTAAGCTCTTTGAGTTTCAATCTACTCTTCTTACACTGGAAAAACGATCGAGAAATAAGAAAAAAATTCTTAAATTAAGTGTATTTACCCTTGATTTGAGTAGGCAAATGAGAGTCTGCCAATAGAATGAGTATTTTTACTCTTAAAATAAAATAATTTGATAACATGCACTTGAAATAAGACAATGCAATTGTGTTTTCTAATTTTAAATGTAAATTGTCTTGTTCCATTGGCAAAATGTCCTGTTTATCTCCTCAATCCAAGAAGAAATACACTTATTTTAAGAAGAAAAAATTTACTTATCTAGATTTCCACCAGTGTATATGAACTTGTGTTGTTTTTTTTTTTTTTTTTTTTTTTTAAGCAGCTGTATAAAACCCAGCAACTTGTTGGAATTAACATTTTCAAGGCTTTGATGATCAAACAGTTAT